CTGGCACATTCAGCATAAGCTACATTTCACCGTGCCCCAAACTGGCGTTTTCTGTAAAAGGAAAAATTGATTTTTTTTAATTCCCACCCTCACCTCCTGTGAAAACATTTAGAAGAAATAAATAAAAGCCAAAAATCTTCGACACTTTCTTATATAAACTTATATATGCGTGCGTGTGTGTATGTGTATATACTCTCGTATATAGACAGATAAGCTTTTCAGATATGAATTATATGTAAAACCATGGTTCTCTATGCTGTTGGTAATATGCTCAGCTTTATACTTGTAAAGGCACAGTTTACCTATAACTTTACAGTAGCAAATGTCCTTGTGCCAAGATTGTTTGGCTTTTTGACTTTCAGGAGTCTGTTATCAGTAATTAGGTAAGAGAAGAAGTTATGTTGAATTAGTTGAAAGTTCAAGCTCTGGTAGCATTTGGGGTTGGAATGCTGGTCTTAGGTGTTTTCCATCAATCATCTAAACAGAGCCTCATTTATTGTTGTATTAATTTCCAAAAATACACAGTGGCAGTGAAAACAAAACAAAGCAAAAATTCTGTAAGGATGTGTCAAGAAGAGTATAATCTGACAAGGCCTCAGCTGGAGCAAAATTTGCAGTTTGGGCGATGTGGTTCAGAGTTCAGTGGAAACATCATTCAGACATCGAAGAAAAAGAAGGAAAGATTATGTGATGTAAAACTTAGTTTACAGAATAGAAAATTGAAAGAAAACATGACAATAATCTTAGTATATAAAAGGTGCAGCAAAAACAAGGGAATAGTGTCTTCTCCGTGGCTGATGGCAAAAGGATACAAAGTTATGGGATAACTGCACCAAAGAAAACTTAGGGCTGTTGGTAGGGAAAACTTTTTAAGTATGCGGAAAAATCAGCAGTGGAACAGATTGTCTTGAGAGAATTTAGAGTCACTGGGAATAGAGGGCCTAAGGAGCAGATTAAGTGAAACAGATGTCATAATAATTTAGGTAAAGCCTGAGTGATGGAAGAAAAGCCTCTTACTGAGACAAACCCTTTTGAAAGGCCTCTCTAGTGACTTAGAGTCTGCGGTGAAGGGTGAAGGGACTGGAAAGTGCTGGAGGTGCTGCTTTTTAACAGCTGGTTTGGGAACTTCCAGTGATTTCTGTGGCCATTTTCCATTGAATTGTTCTCAGCTCTGCCCGTATGTGTGTATGCCTTAGAGGTAGGGAGTTTATCATCTCATCTTCACCAGAGACAAGGACATGCAATCTTGCAAGTGCCTAAGTAGACCCTAAATATTCTGATCAATTCCTTCTGTCTTAAAAATGATTGCAGGTATGACAGGACAGCAAGTGCTCCAGATGCTGGATAAGGGATACAGACTTCCTCAGCCAGACAACTGCCCAAAGCCGCTGTATGATATCATGCTGCAGTGCTGGAAGGCGAATGCCAAAGAACGACCCACATTTGAAACCTTGCAATGGCAGCTGGAAGACTATTTTGAAGTGGATGATTTATCCTATTCAGAAACACATACTATTTTAAAATGAACCCTGAGGCAGGGCCTGAGCAAAAAAATAATGATCACTTCAATGAACATGACTAGGAGGGTCACTGTGAAATCAATGTAACCTCAAATGTAGAATGAGAGGTTATTAGATGAAACTAAGGAATTTGGTACATTTTCACGCCTGTGTCAGTACTTAAGGACAGTTCAAATTTTTGCTGCTGGTAAGTATTTTGCAAGATAGCATCAGGAGGCTGGAGGGGTGGGGGCTTCTAAAATATAAACTCTCTTCTATTTATTTTTTGAATAACAAATCACAAGAATGAACAAATGAAATAAATATTGTTCAATAAGCATGGTAACATTTCATAATTTCTGTATTAGACTAATTATTTTTTGTTTCTTAGACTTTTAATTCTTATCAGTTGGTTATTAAGAAGGAATTTAATTGCTCTGTGCACAGCAGGATCTGCACTTTGAGACATTTCTTATCATAAAAAAAAAAAAAATCCTGTGACTGTGATGATGGCAAAACCCAGCTTTGCTTAGACCTGCAATACATGTGCCTTGCTATGTAAGAAAATAAGACTTTGTTGTAAAAAAGGAAATTTTTTGTTCTGTGGTTGCAAATAATTTTTTTTATTATTAGTTTGACTACTGTGTCTCTCTTACAAGAATGAATGCAAATATTATATTCTTAATGTCAAATATCAAATAGCATTATGGAACTGATGAGTTATTGTCCACTGAATTATAAGGGTTTGTTTTCTCACTGAGTTGAGAAATGTTGGGGGAAAAAATATTTTTTGACTGAAATCAAGACTGCCTTCACAATTTGGAGTGAACTTCCTCCCACCCAGCTGCCCAAATTGCTGACCTTCTCCAACACGAGGCCTAGAGCGGGTCTAGGTATTTTGCAGAACTAGCAATTCACACTTCTATCTTCTCCAGATGTAATTTTAATACAGTAGATTATGTTCCAGGTTATTCTGTTTCATGGGGAAATGGAGCCTAGGTGCTTCTGCTTCTATCTATACAGTTACAGATTTTAGAAGTTTCTTCCAGTTCTTCAAATTCATTACAATATCATTTCTTGTAAAATTTGAAATCATTATGACAGTTTATGTTCTCAGTTGTGAGGTTTGGAGAACGAAGTTTCATTTATTTACTTACAAATTAGCAGTTAATTATTTAACAATGTAATCCAGGAATAAAGAGTTGTATTGTGTTAACGTAGTGTGAGCTATGATTTTTTTCTAATATTAGTAATATGTGGTGTCTGCACGTATGGTCTAAAAAAGGTATAAGTAAATGAAAAGATTCATTACTTTAAAGGCGAGGTGGCTTTTATTACTTCTGTTTTACATTATTTCCTTTTCTTCTTTTTATACTTCAAATCCATTCATCTCAGTACCTTGCTTTTAATTTTTAATTTCCTTTTTCCCTCCTCTACTTTCGGAAGGCAGCTCACCTTCCCCCCCACACCCCATACACAGCTCTTATGTACTATCTGTTCAGAACACCATGCCTTATTTATTTTCTCCTCTTTCTATCTTACTATCCCTATATTCTCTGTAGTGTTTTAATTCTGTTCACCTTCATTTTCTGTGCAATGTTTCTCCCTATTAGCACTTTCTATGCTAATTACATTTGTAAAGCATAATACAGCAATAATTAATTAGCTGTCATAACAACCATGCGGTTTTGGAAAGTCACCATCCGCTCTGAAAAAAGAGGTTAAATACTTTGGCCAAACCCATCCTCATAAGAATTGGCTTTGAACAAACTTGGCTTGGAATGAACTTTGCTCCCAACCAAAGTCTCGTGCTGTAATGCTGTCTCTGTTTGTTTTGAGGCTCATGCTAACTACTGGCTCATGGCCCCAACACAATGTTATTTATGATTATCAAGCCTCCATCAATCCGTGTGTCTCTGTTCTGGCTAGGAGCTATGTTAGCACCATTACAACATGAGGTTAGCAAGTTCCACAGAATAGTTTTATGTAACAAGAATAGGAATGTTGTTATTTCTCAGAAAAGTCTCTGCATTGAACTTTCAATCTGGATGTTCAGGCATTATTTCCAAGATGATTTTTCAGACTGAAAGCATTAAGAATGTTGTAAACAAAAGTTGAATTTGCTCAATTTAAATAAGAATAAAATGCTAATAAAATAAGTAAAAGCTTAAAAAGCACAGAGGTATGCAATTCAGAGGAGTCTGTATCCTTTTATTTCAAAGATGAGTTGCCACAAAAAACAAATCTACATCAGGGAAATAGCAAAGTAATCGGAATTCCAAATTATACCAAATGGTCCAAACTGCTCTGTGCTGGTCTCTGCCTTTGGGTGAAATTAAATGGGATCCTGTAGTACTCTTAAATGCCTCCACTGAAGTGGCACCAATAGTTTTGAAGAAAATGCATCTGTATAGGAAACATCTTCCTAAACCAACATATAGGGAATAGAAAAGCTATTTATCCTGCTCGGGTTGGATGGCTTGTCTCCTTAATTTCTCCTGTAGTCAAGAGAGAGAGATAGAAGCTCCTTTAGATGGTGAATTAGTGTACCAAAATTACGTTTCCTCTCTTAATCCCCCCAGTGGACCTCTTTCTGTTTGCTAAGTGTAAAGGTAGCCAAGAGAGACAAACCTTTTAGTTGAGAGGGTGTGAATAATCCACCTATTCTAAACTCAAATTAGCTGCCTCAAGCGCCTTCTACCAAGCGTGGCTTTAAGATCTGCCTCCACGTCGCTGAAAATAGCAGAGGCTGCAGGCGAGCAGCTTCCCCGCAGGGCCGTGTGAGAAGTAGGTGCTGGCATCTGCCAGGCTGCAGGTGACGGGGCCTGGCATGCTGGGCTGCTGCTGGCAGCCCAAGTGCCCTGCTGCTGCATCATGCCATTTTTCCACTTGTGCTTTTTCTCCGTGCGCTTGTGCAGATGCAGCCGGTTAATGGACCACAGACCTGCCAGCTGCCTCGTGTACCTGCTGGCCCAGAATAGGGGACAAGCAGCAGTGCTGCGTGACAGCGTCATGCAGATTCACTTTGGTGGCCCTCATTCTCAGCACCACATACACAGAATCACACACAATGGTTTAGGTTGGAAGGGACCTCTAGAGATCGTCTAGTCTAACCTCCCTGCTCAAGCAGGGTCCTCTAGGGCATATTTCCCAGGATCGCGTCCCGGCAGGTTTTGGATATCTCCAGCGAAGGAGATCTCCAGTGAAGGAAATATCAAATCGATTAGCTTATTTTGTCTTGATCTTTAAGGCAACATCCTCCCTAAGGCATCTTGGAGCACCATGACCAAAAGATCTCCTCAGCCACAGCAGCTAGCAGCTGGGACATCTTGGTTTCTGATCCTGTCCGCTCTGTCCTCTCTGTGTTGAAGGCACACGTTTGGCCTCCCTAAGGCAATGCAGTGCTGTTCGCTGGAGAGGGTAAAGGGGTGCAGTCAGCCCTCATCTTCCAAGCCTTATTGCCGTTTCCAACCCCTTGATGTGTGCCCTGTGACCAGCACAGCCTCTTTTCTTAGCAGAAGCTGAAAGCAATGGAAGTCAGGAAATCAGGTGGGTGGTGGGGCAGGATGTTCGTTTTCTCTTGCATGGAGCTGCTGGGGGAAAGGCCTGGCAGAGTCCCTTTGCCACTATCAACAGGCTAGCTGAGGCCAGGTTTGAAACCACAGATGTTGTTACGAGAGCCAGTGGTTACTCTTTCTGGCATAAATCTATGCACTTGCTTCCTGCAAGTGCAGAGTACTTCCTTCCACCTATGCAGTTGCTTCCTGCAAGGGCAAAGTGCCCCTTGCTTCCACACTGCACCTGTCCCTAAAGCCAGTCCTTGTTATACCCGTAAAATGATGCCACTCTAACTGAGCTCTGATTTTGGATCTCTTTTTCCTTGGGCTTATCTCCCCTGACAAAGGAGAGAAAAGTCAGCAATGAAATGGAATCAGCAAAACAATGGAAATAAAGAGTAATGTGGAAAATTAAATATTTGTTCTTGGTTCTTTCCTTCTCTACCTATTTGCAGTCAAAAGGATCCATTACTGGGAAAGCCTGGAGGAAAAAGGCAACAAAGGGTGATAAACCTTGACAGAATTCAATTTGCTTACAGGCAATGCAACAAGTAAAACTATACCTTTCCAAGTCCAATCCATTTAATAATTTTATTTATACGACAGACAACAATTATTGTCAGAAGCCTTTGCTATGACTTGATTTAAACTAAACAGCAAGGTTATCATTTCCAGTTATAGTGCACAATAAGATGGGTTTAACTTATCTCATTCTATTCTTGAGGCCTTTTATGTTCAAGGTTCTGCGAGAGCTATCTATTGCACTTGTTTTTACCTGATGGATCATGGAAGGAAAATAATGGATTCGGTTATGAGAAACTATAATAGATTTTTTTGAACTGACATAAATTTCTATGTTTAGATGCAATAAAAGGATGAGGAAGAGATAAGTTGAATTTTTCTACAATAGACCAGCTCTTGTAAAATTCACTTCACATAAATTGTACTGAGACATCTTTTATGTAATGTTTTATTTGTGTAATTCGTGTATTCTTTGAGAACTAAACTACTTTATGTGGTCCTACAAAAGATAATTTTGACATAGTTTAAAAATGACCAACCAGAACGGAAGAATCTAAAATTTTTTTAAACTGTCCATTCTTCAAAAAGTTGTGCAGCAATGCAATTTTATTTCAAACTGCAAACATTAGGGGGTACCTAGACTTTATTTTTGATTCCTATAGGAGAACCTTTGCTCAGATTATCTGCATTCAAGAACGTATGTAAGCAGACTAAAGACATGATAGGGCAATAAGGAATCCTCCATCACTGGTACCATTTTATTCCTTTTTTTCCCCATTGTATCACATACTTGCTCTCTGAATGACCTGAATACAAGCAGCAGCTTTCTCTGCATGGACTTACAACTTACACCTTGCAAGGAAATGCACCAATGGAGTGCATTATTTCACTGTGGCTCAGACTCAACAAACTGTCAGTGCTTATGCCTGGAGCACATGATTCATCCAAGTGATTTGCTCCGTATGCTTTTCTACATGGTTATATTATTTCGCTCATTTAAAACATGCTGAAGCCTCACGTCCACTATGTGTCCCCCATGGTCACTGTGAGTCACTGGTTAGCTGTTTGTTATGTATGGGTCATGGAGCAGATAAAAATGCTGCATGTATGAGTTGTGCCACTGTGCTCAAAGAGCTCCAGATGTGTGCCACACCTAAGTGCAAAGCTGTGTGGCTGCCATTCTGCCTGGTGAGCATCTGTGCCAGATGTGTTCT